ACCTTCTTGCACTGCTTATGTGAAAGCTTTCCTGGGATGAGGAGCAGCATGGCTGGTACATCTGGATCACAAGCAATGGAGTAGAGTCTGGAGCCACATGTCACTGGAGTGCCCATAGGACTGTGGCTCTGTAGAGGGCTATGAGACACAGCAGTCATCACAATAAACCCCAGCTCAGATACTTGTTATCGAACTGCTTTATGAGGCACTACCATCCTATGCCTGCTTGTTTTATGAATGCTGATATTTTTCATTACTATGTAATGAATATGTATCATTTATACTCATATGATTTAACGTGTATTATTTATGTGTGTTTTACCTGAGGTGTTCTGAATATGGATCTAACTGAGTRTTGCATCCAGTTGTCTGAATGCATTTCAAAAACAATGGCCATTGTGTTTACTACATTATGTAAACCTAACCCATCCATGCAGAGGAACTAGTGGGAACTATGAGACTTGTACTATTCCAGGTTATTTTTCTGCAAAATGCTGTTTGACMCTTTGCTAATTTCTCACATACCGTWAGATGTGAAAGAACTGTWCTAAAGAAAAACCTTTAGGTTAGATATAGGAAAGCCTTAACAATAAGGATAGCGGTTAGCTGCTTTCCTGAGAAGGGTGTCCTGGGAGGTTTTTAACCTGTGGTTGTTCAAGCAGCAGTCAGGAAGGACATGATAGAGTTGGCTCTGTTTGAGGGAAAAGAGACCAATGAGGTGGCTTCTGGGGGCTCACTTCCACTTCAATTGGTATAGGAACGGGCACAAACTTGGGTGTATGCACAACATTTCAACTTAAAGATTTTGTTGTTGGTATCCCCATGCAAGAGAAGAAAATAAGGGAACAATTGCAGGAGGAAATGAGCTTTAGGCCTGTGCTTCAAACTTTCCTTAAAGGTAAAAAACTATAAAGGAGGAAGTTAGGCCTGAACAACCTGCTGTTGACGGCTATGCACAAGGGCATCATTCCTCTGAGTACACTCCATGAGAATACTCAGTCCTTTGGATAAGTCTCATTCATATACCAATATGATAGGGTCATATAGACTAGAGTGAGTAYCAGTCTCTTTTTTAGCAGGGTCATTTAAGTCAAGATGTTTTTCTGAAGCATTTTAGTATCTGAGAATTCATTTTCCAGCCATTCCAAGTAAAGAGCTTTCAGCAGTGCTGGGAGTATGCTGGTAATGGTGCTGAGAAGCTGGGTGCATGAGAGTCTGAGGCAGGAGAGCAGCTGCTGGGTGGGAACCAGAGCCCAGTTTGGTGGATGCCAGCAGGACACAGACTCTCCCTCATCAGCTGCAGAACTGGCAGAGGCCAGGGATCAGGCCTAAACAAGTCTGACTCGAATTTCTCATCRTAGCTGGGGGGCACTCCAGCTGAAAACAACAGAACTGTCAAGGTGAGGCAACTCCAGGAGTTGCAATTATGCTGTGAAAAGTAGGGGCAAACCAACTGTGCTTGGTGTGCCCCTGGGGCAGGGGAAGCTGTCACTTGAATGAAATTATGTTGCTTCTAGGCTCGTACTGGAGATGTCTTGAGAAAGGACATTTCTGTGTGTTCCCAGAGTGATCTGGAGGAGATTTTTCTTCTTTATTTGAAGAGAGTTATTCTGATCAGTCAGTCYTCCTGGGGCAAGATTCAGTGTGCTGTACTTTTCCCAAAGGAAACTGAAGCACTCTAAGAGATGACCYCAGCAGTGAGCTGCAGCCTGGTAGCCAAACAGAGCATTTAGATACAACCAAGGTCTGTAATGGGCTCAGTGCTGCGGGAACGTGGGTATTTCAAGAATCACAGAATATCCTGAGTCRGAAGKGACCCACAAGGATCRTGGAACMCAGCTCTTGAGGGAATGGGTCWGGAGTTCCTGGAAATGCATTTCCTCTTTTCAWGTCTATGAGCTGTGAGAGCATATCAGTAGAGAAGGAAGGCAGAAGGTCTTCTATAGAGCAAAAGCCATTATACAGAAAAAGCAGGATTATTGCTAATGGCTTATGGAGAGTTGCACTATAGMTGTGTTGAGGAATTGTTTAGGTGTCACAAATCTAATTCACAGACTAAGAAAAAAAAGGCAGCAAAAAGAATTATTGAGTTAAACCATCATGGTGTAAGAATATGCACAGATCTAAAATGTCTGTCAGATGTTTGTCAGACCCATCCCTGAAGCTTCCAGTTGTGAAGATCCAACAACCTCGCCAGGCAACATTTCAGGTCTTCCCTGAGCCTCCTTTTCTCCYGGCTAAACACTCCCAGCTCACTCAGCCACAGCTTATAGGACTTGTGTCCCAGACCCTTCACCAGCACCACTGCCCTTCTCTTTGACTACTCTGGATTTGTTCCAGTGCCTCAATGTCCTTCTTGTACTGAGGAACCCAGACCTGGACACAGGACTTGAGGTGTGACTTYATCAGTGCTTAGTACAGTGATTAAAACCTATGCAAAGCCTGTCTAAAAGCCCTCTGATTACACTGACAGAATTTAGTGAATCAGTGCTGGAAGCAGCAATGTGATTAACTGACAAGACTTCTTTTCACCTTTTAAAAAAATACACACTCCAAGCCAGTGCAGCAGAGCTGTATGATATTCTCCAGCAAAAACACAGAATGAGCAAGCAGGTACAAATGTCTCTTTCTCCAAGCGGAAAGCTTAATAAAAGTATTTTATAATTTGATACTGGATATTCAAATCYTTTTTCTTTTGTTTGTTTTCATTGTTGCGCAGCTCTTTATCTGYGTTTTTCCAAATTAATTTAAGAACATTATTTTGAACTTATTTTATCCTTTTTTTTTTCAATCAATTCATTTCTTCTCCTTCTAATTTTCCTAATTTTGATGGAATCTGTTCTATTTTCTCACAAAATTTTGGGGGGCTTTTTGCTCTGAAGAGCAGTCTCTACTTTCATTGTGTCATAACCTTTATGTTTTTCAGTACCTTACAGAGATGATACTACATTTGGCTTTTCCCCTCACTCCTTCTCATTCTGTTTTTAATCTGTATTTCCCACTTGCATGCTGTCTTTCCTACATGGAGTATTGTATTGAGAAAATACAGCTTTTGAACCTATTTACCTAAGTTCAAACCAATCAACTTAAAACCTGTTGATTGAAGTAGGAAAAAAAAGGAAAAACTGAGAAAGAAAAACATATTTGCATACAAGAAATTTCCTTATAAGCTAGTGCTGCAATGTGAAGAAGCTTGTGGACAAACATCGCCTGACAATGTATGCTGAGCATGGACTGACAACTTAGTTCATGCTGGGGAATTTAGTGTCACCCACTTTTYCCAAAAGCTATCGTCTGCTGCACCCTTCTGGACATTGTCAGCACGGCACGTTCTCCAGACAATCTCACACAGCGTGAAGTGGCATTACAGCATAGTTTTCAACAGTAAAGAYGTGATTTTATTTGTTGCTAGTAGAACATGGGCATAAAAATCTCTCTGCCTTTGATTGTTCTAAGATTAAAATTAAATCCAAGAGAAAAGACGTTTCCGTGCTTTTTGCTAGCAGATCTGGAGTGGTTTCAGACTTCTGCATCTGTACTCTGTGGCATTTACCATCAGAGGACAGAGCCGGTAATGCCGTCAATGATAGAARAAGCGAGGCTTGGCTCCCCACAGTTCATATCCCAGTTCATCAAGTCCTGCTGCATCTCTTGATGACCCCACCTCTCTGCTGCATTAAACCAGGAGACCTTCAGGTCCTGCCTGCCCTTCTACACACCTCCCCTAAATGTCCCTCTAGTCCTGCTTCTTCCCATTCATGTGCCCCTAAACATCTCTGTGAGTTACTCCAGGCTTCGATGAGGACAAYCTGTCTCTTCCACGGCCATGTGTCCCCAAGATTCATCTAAGCATGCGCTGACATGCTGGTTGGAGGGACTGACCTGCTGACTGGCCGAGCAAAAATGAGTGGTACTTGCTTCCACCATGAACATCATTGTGGAAAGCAAATTTTGGGTTCTTTTCTCTTTCCAGCCACTGATTTTCTGAAGCCTCATAGGAATATTCCCCTGCCAGATATGGTAGAGGTTGAATGATATGCTCAAACAGCAGCTGTGGAGGTTGGGATGCCGATGAGCTGTGGATGTGCAGGCACACAGACATGACTCACCACAAAACAGTTATCAAGACCAGACACTTGTTTTCCTACTGGTGCTGCTCCCACCTGTTCTGACTACAGGTTACACACTGGCTGCCCACTGAGAGCCCTCACAGCTGGGGCAAAAAGGCCACTTCCCCACTGCCATGTCAGCAGTCCAGTGTGTATTTCCCCCTGTGCCCTGGAGGCATTTTGACCACTGCCTTCATCTCAAGTGGTTCTCTGGTCATCAATGCTCAGAAGGATGTGGCTGTTTCTTTGACACAGCCTTTCCAGACCACCATTCTCCTAGCACAGAGGGGAACATGCAGGACTCCCACTTTCCTCCCAKCTTGCTCTCATCTGTTCTCCCAATCCCAGCTAAAGGCTACACTGACTGGCCAGGCAAACCATTTGAAACTCATGAAGACACTATGGCTGGGAATGCCTGGCTTGCCTTAGCTGAGTCAGAGTCTGTTTTGGGGGACTTTGTCTTACACAAAAGCATAAATCAGAAGCAGTTTCCATCTAAAGCAGTGCAAGTCTGTGACTGAAAATACTACTGGGACCTCAAGCTGAATATCCAGGACTATAAAGAATTAGATGTGTGGATTGTGTCTTGTTCCCATACTTTCCACCACTACAATCCTCATCTTTACCTTAGCAAAGTGATGCCAAACAATCTGAGGGGGGGAAATAAAAACCAAAAAAAAAATAAACCACACCCCAAAAAAAACCATGTCCCACAAAAGAAGAAAGTGCCTTCACATTTCCCAGTATCCAGCAGAAATCATTGAGCCTGATTTGGTAATCTGTCCAATTCAAGGTTGTTTTGACTGCCACACCATGGCAAGGGAAGCACAGCATGGGAGAATTATTAACTTAATCCTCCTGCCTTGTTTGTTTGATGCTGCCTCACTCCAGTGCAAGTCAATAAAACTTCGTGCACCAATACACACAACTTCCAACATGCATCAGCTGGGCCAAAATGGGGATTAGCAAAGCTACCACTCTCTTTCTGTTCTTGCTCAGCTCAGGTAAGAGTCCTTTGCCTTCTGCTTGCTGAGGTGAGACTGGGGCAAATTGCTTGTGAGTTCCATGTGGTGAAGGTGGGTCCCTAAATCAATGTGTCATCCATTTCCTGGGCAATGGATTTGGGCCTTGTTGGTCAGGAGTGGCAGTTGAATAAAGCGAGAGCTGTGGTTGCACCAGGGTTGTTTTGATTAGTGACACCAGAAGAGYGGCAGCTTTGGTGTCTGCATGGGCAATTAATGGTTCCTGGCAAAGATTTCCCATGTCCAGAGACAGGGGCACCCTTGGGAGGCAGCTTGGCAAAGGCTTGTACAAAATCCATAGCAGTCAGTGAGAAGTTATCTTTAAAATTAGAGACAGGCTTTGGAACAAATGCTAAAGGTATAGCTGTCTTTACTGTCAAGCATTGTTAACAGAAATGCTGACAACTGGCAACAGAAATGTGTTGTCAAACACTTAYAATAAAATGTTCTCCCCTGTTTTCTTGAGAGCAATAGGTAGAAATTTACTCTTCAGTAAACCAGATCACCTTTACCAGGTCCAGAATTCTTTTTTACAACTCCAAAAAATTATAGGCTTTTCCCTAATGGCAATATATGAATTTCAAGCTTATCTACAAATTCTGTAAATAAATATTCCATCTGTAGTATGCATTTCAATCAGATTTCAATCAGACGCCATTGTCTCTTGTACTTTGAAATTGTATTATAATTGCATGGCACTTAAATGACTTTTTAATAGTACTGTGATATACATATCAGTACAGTTTTTATGAGTTTTTAATAGTTCAGACCCTGAAAGTCAGAATATCAGGGACGTATCATTGTATGATTGTGCCAGTTTATAAAAGACAACTGATAAAGAGGTGGTGTTACTAGTTCATTGTTATCAGCTCTAGCTGACTTGCTTGAAAGTGATGGTCCAAAACTGCCTTAAAAAAATTTTTATGTATTTGGGATTAGCACTGGTCAAATCTTGAGAGATGCATATATAAATTAAGAAAATCATTTGTTTACATATATTTGAATATAATTGAATCATTTGAATTTSATTATCAAGTGCAATATCTGGGCTTATAAATATTTAAGTCAGACTAATACATTCCTTGATGCATTTTAAATATATTATATTGCTTTCTTAAGTTTACACTTTGAATGTTTTTCATGCAACCAGAATCACCTTTTCTTTTCTATTAACTAAGATTCTGCCAATCTGTGTTGGCTTTTAGCTTATGCATGTCATCCAAAATCCCATGTATTCATTTTTAAACAAACTGTAACAAACACCTTTTTAATTTTTTTCTTATAGTCACTGAAAAGGAATAGTATCCAAAGTAGAGCTCTTTGAAAAAACACAGAGTTTTAAGATGAGTCAATCAAGTTTAGAAAYGAGTATTTTCCTGTTCTAGTCTCCTGGAAGAGAGGCCTCAATTAACTTATGAAAAAGCTCAGGAGAGGAAGCACTTGTTTACTGAATCCATCARGAGAAACTAGTAGGCTAAGCTAATGGTGCTCCACATAGTACTACCATAACAGCAGGATTAGATATGGGAAGCCCAGGTGTCAGGGATTTCTCAAGACACACAGGGTTTACAGCATTGAGCCAACTCTGCAAAGAGACACAGAAAATACCCTCAGGCAATCAATCATGAATGACCCATATGTTGTGGGAATTAATAACACTGGAGTGATGCTACAGTAAATTCAGCCTAATGTGAGTGCATAAATGAAAGATTCACAACATTACCTGTGAGAATGCAGTACAAAATTATGAACTTCCTGCATCAGTCAATAATAATCAAGACTGAAAAAATGAAATAATTAAACCGCATCATTTGTGCAACCTTGTAAACTCATGCTGGAGATGGAAATAAACTGTTGTAGAAATTTGGAACTGAAACATAGAATCTTTATAGACATGAAAATAAAAGAAGTCAATTAGATGGCAAACTCCATTGTAGGCAACAGTATTTTAGAAGTGTGTTAAATGTATTAAAGGTACATTGTATAAATCCTATGTATATGTAGCTTTCAAATAACAATACTAATTGAAACACTAATTTAAAATCTTGCATAAATTTGTTGCGACAGAGATGTAGCTTGAAAATTTCATTAYTGAGTCCGCTTAACCCATTGCAATTAAACAATGGTGGCCATTGTAAAAGGCTACATAGTAACTTTATGATTGAGGWTTCTTGCACTAGGACAGGACATCTTGTGACAAACAACTAGGCTCTGACCAATTAAACTGTAGAGATTGCACAATCTACATGACAGGTCATAATCTCTCATCCACCTAATAATTCATGCTTCTTCGAAACTTTGATGTAGGTATCACTTCCCTTTCTATGATTGGTGTTGATATCACTTAGTCCCTCTCTCTGTTCCCCCTTCCTTTTTTGCTTTTAGTTTCAAACTCATGCATAACTCTAGTCAGAACTGTCTCTACATCTTTCTTTTGCTGCTTTTTTCCCATTCAGCTGTGATTGTGTAAGGAAACAGAAATTACCTCAGAGTGTATAATCTTTTATCAGAATGACACAAAATAAATTGTGTCTTCACCTGTCCGAGATACACAGAAAATGGGACTCAAATCCACAGATCTCCTTACCTGCAGAATTCTCATTTGTAATGTCTGGTTCCTTTCCTTCCCTTCTAGTGAAAGGAGACATACTGGATGACTATTTAAGAACAGATGGTGTTTGGATTCTTACTCRAAATAAACAGTTTTACAAGACAAATAATGAAAAAGAATGTGCGCAGAAATGTGAAGCAGAAAGAAATTTTACCTGCAGGTAATTTCTGTAGAATCTTAAAACCTTGTCATTATGGGTGTCTGTGCATCAATGATATGCTCCTACTCAGAGACAATATCGCCATTCCGCGGCAGCTCTGCCTACAGGAGTGTCTCCCTGTGCCTTTAGCTTATGACTTATCTCGAACCCATAAATTACCACAAGATCAAGTAAAAGGTGAATTTACAATGTACTACTCATTTAATAGTAAATGTTCACATTTCCTTTCTTATCCAACAGATCTTATCTTACATGGAAAACTTGCTTGAACCTCTTTAGCTGGATGCTGTCTTGTTTTCTAAAAGTAGAGTGCAAGTTTTCTAATCCACTGTAGGGACAGACACTAACCTGATCAGCTAGGATTCTGTTGATGAAGTGCTGCCAATGTAGCTTCAGTTCTCCACACAATAACTTAAGTGAGTCACTTGAGAGTAGTAGATAACATTAACCTCTTAGKGTCTAAAACATCTAAGTGTAGTATCTGAAAGATAAAAATGAATACCTACCAGACAGCACTACCGAATTAATAATTTATAGAAAAATAATTATTAGTTGAATAATCTGAATTGAATTTAAAATATTGCTTCCTRTGTCAATATTGCTTCCTTCTCAATTTCAACAGGGCTTTCCTATTCACCAGGAAAAAGCTGCAGTGTTTAACACTGGCTGAAAATGCTAAGATGACGGTGATGTTCTCCAGCCCAGATGCAGTTCTTTATGAGAAGCAAAGTATGTGTACAGTAAGATGCTACATATTTCCTCACAAAGCCTATTCTAATGGCATTCTTCTGCTCTCTGCTGCAGTGCTGCAGCAAATTCCTGTATAGGGCAGAAAACTAATAAAGAATTGGGGGCCAAACAGGAAGAAGCCGAGTTACTAAAAATGCTGTTCAAGAAGGATCAAATACCAAGGCCTAGATCCATGGTGGTCTCCATGTTCCATCTGAACTGGRAATTCCCTTGTCTTCCTTCCAGACCATTATACAGTCTTCACCTCCTCTCCCCTTGTATCAGATATGTCCAGATTTATTATGCAGACAGGCTAAAATAATTTACAAGGAACCTGGCAACATCAGAAAGTCCATGGCTATTGAGCAGAGATGGACATGCTGGGACCTGAGTCTTAGTGTTGAAGCAGCAGTGACTGAACTTTTGGTCCCTCCAGAAGTACACTGACAAACGAGGTGGCAGCTTCCTTTTAGCAAGACACACAGCACAGACATTTTTAGCCCCAGCCACATTGTGATGGCAGCAACTATTGCAAGGTTCAGTTTTTCCTGTCAAATTGGTCTCTCTCCTGTCCTTGCTCTGTTTTGAAGTTCAGGGAGATTCTTCTTGTGCCAATAAGTGAACCATCAACATGATTTGCATTCTCCCTGCCTTGGAATCCCATTAGAAAAATACCTGGGAGAGTCTGAGGCTAAGATGAATCAGAGGTTTGGGGGCCACTTATTGGACAGGGGTATTTTTTCACCTACTCTGCAAACGTGTTTATGAACAATGCTTTTCAAACCATCTCCAGCTGCTGGTGAAAGATGTTCCTATTTATCCCAGTATAATGATAATATAAGCCTGCATTTTTTCCATATCATAAGCAATGGTAACTTGTTCTCTTGTTTTTATTAGCTTTATAACAATGCTTGAGAAATTACTCTCTTTAAATGCCTAGAAGTTGCAACTAATTTCTTTTAAAATACATTATAGAATAATATGTTTGCACATACAAGAAGTTCAAAACATGAGTCAAACACGTTTCATCATGTACAGATGAGCTTCAGTTTTATGTGCAGATTTTCAGTTCCCAGAAATTAAATGCTCTAACACCATTGAATTMACAAATTTGATTCCATTTCAGTTTACCTTCTACAGTGTAAAAGAGGGATTGGGACAGACTACAGAGGAACAGAAGCCAAGACTTGGAGGGATATTCCTTGCCAAAAGTGGGCAGAGAAAGTACCGCACAAACCAAAGTATGTCCTAATTTATATCTCTTTATGTTCTGAATGTCTTCCAAGCTTCCTAATCTTTGTATGTATAAAGAGACTTATAGTGCAAGTTATCAAAGCCTGTTGTTCAGGTGACTTTTTAAGGCAGCTTTGTTACTTTTGACTCCACTTCCAGAGAAGTGCAATGATCTGGATAAGGAAAGGATGCATCGTCAGCTAGAGAAGTTGTTTCTAAATACGAGGTGTCTTACACAAATGAAATGCTCCTTCTCTCAATACGATGAAGATTTTGCTATTGTTTCCTCTGATCCATGTTGGAGTTTTATTTTAAAAAAACTTCTTATTCTAATGAAACTTGGATACACTTGCTCATATAGTTTGAAAGTAAACTAGTCTTCTGTGGGAAGATTACTGAAAGAAGAAGCCTAGTGTCACTTTCTTCAGATCTCTGTGACCTAGTTGTGTTGATAAACAGTCTCTAGAAATACACAACTTTTACAGTAGCAAACACATGGCAGAGACACAGGTTGTAGTGTGCTGATTAGATCAGCTGGATGCATGTATTAAAGATAAAAATTGTCCTTTGAGACTGTCATCATCCTCAYAGGCTGTAAACTCACTCCTTACTGGCAGCTGGGACCTAGGGAGAAAGGTACTAATAATGGTAGTTATGGAATGTTTTTTCAGTTTTCATTTATGGCTTACAATGGGGMATCTGTTTCTCTCCATTTTTACTGTGAATGAATAAAATTCACAGCTAGCTGAGCAAGTTGGATACTTCCCTTCTGCTCCACTAAAGTACAGGAATTAAAATAGAATTTTGATACTATTACAGTTACACACCTGAAAAATACCCCAATGCAGGGTTGGAGGAAAACTACTGCAGAAATCCTGATGAGGATGAAAGAGGACCCTGGTGTTACACAACAGATCCTGCTATTAGATTTGATTACTGTAAYATCCCAGAGTGTGAGGACCAGGTCACGCACACTGAAGAAGGTATGTTCACTTTTCAGAGAAGGGATGTTCAAATAGGTAATATTATTCCTGATASTTTTTCATGCTTTATTTTTACAGTTTGTTTTCAAATTAGAATTTAAATCAAGCTGAAATTAAGAAGCTCTTAACACAGACATTGTTTTCCTAATTGGCTTGAGTTATCAAAGTTATTTTGTAAATATGGAAGAACTAACATTTTTTAATCATTTGCTGATATTGTTTGCTTTATCTGCATCTGTCTTGTTASTTTTGACTATTGGCAAAGAACTCCAATGACCTGGATAAGGAATATGTTGCTCTTTACCTCAGTAATTTATTTAATGTTAACAAGAGTAAAGATTGACCCAAGTACTGTGCTACACACTGAACTCCCATTTCTAACAGTACATACAGATACATGACAAATTCCTCCCTCCAAACAAAACATATTCCTAAAGAATTATTAATTTGGCCAGGCTGCAATGCATGGTCTTCTGGATTCCTTTCATTGTTAGCCGGAGCAAACCCCACTTTTCTTTTCAGCATAGTCTGAAACCCCAAACAGGCTGGTGMGTTCCTTGCTTTGCTTTCATTCTGCCTAGGACCTACGGGGGAGTGCATGCAGTGTAATGGTGAGGACTACCATGGAGAAGTTGCAAGAACAGAGTCTGGACTTGAGTGCCAGCGCTGGGATGCCCAAGAGCCTCACATGCATGGATTTACCCAGAGACAGTGAGTGATGCTCAGCATGGAATTCATTCCCACAGAGCCTGGGAGACCCTGCCTGCAGACAGCTTCCTTGCTACATCTGCCATAGCTGGTTCACGAGTTTCTCTTTCATTCTCAATGTGCAGCTATCCAGGGAAGGATCTGAAGATGAATTATTGCCGCAATCCTGATGGTGAACTTCGGCCCTGGTGTTTCACTACCAACCCAAATAAACGCTGGGAATATTGCAACATTCCTCGTTGCTGTGAGTCTGATTTCCTGACATCACTCTAGAGGGTAGCTCTTCTCATTAAAATTACGCAGGGAGGGGAAAGACAAGAAACTACAACTCTGAGTAACCTAAAGTTACCTCTGTGAAGCAGGAAAAGTACACATTAATAAGCAGAATCACTTATTAAATTTCTGTTATGTAAAACCATGTACGGTCAGTRAGGATGCAGGTGCCACAAAGTGCACTAAGACCAAAGATGTTATGGGAAACCATAATTTGCCTTTAACCACTTTGCTTTTCAACTTAGCTGGGARGCAGGACATTCAGGTTAAATCAGTAGCTCCCTGCTGATGTGCTCACTCACAGAAATCATCTGAACTGCCATATGGCCATATCGTGATATTTTACCTGGCTCTGATCAGCACAGCCAGCACTGCCTTTTTCTGAGCAAGGGATGAATCCTGAGAAACAAGTTCAGGCCTCCAGAGAAAAACCTGATTTATCRATGAGCTAGCTTAAGCTGAGCACACTAAATCTGGCTATTTCCAAGGCAGTGAATTAAGAGATAACMTTGCCAATTGTAGAAGTGKATAGCAGTCAGAGAAAAAAAAAWTTAAAAGTTTATTTTTTCTCTCTAGAGCTTGCTTTCTTATGCATCTGCACTTACCAGCACTCCAAGCAGTGGTGCATGTTTGCTAGATGTAGTTCTCTTCAGCATGCTTAATTACAGATGGCAGAATAACTATTTATAGGCTTCTGTATGATAAATAGTGACAGTTGCCATAGTATTCCCATCGTATCTTTAAAACATAAAGTTTAAGGAACATACCACCTATTAGGGTCACACCCATTTCTTTGGGAAATTCTGTATATTATAGGTATGTGCTGCAAATACATTTTCCATTTGCCCTCTGCAGGTTCTATGCATCTGATCATTAATTTTCTTTGCTGTTCTCCACATGGCAGACCACTTCACTTTCTTTCTTTTCTTCACTGATCCTTCTGCCCCTCTTTCCCAATACACAGACTCCAGAGGCTCATCTCYGAAGGCTGCTTTGCTTTCTCTCACAATTTCTTCTTGGCTCTCTCTGCCCTTCCACACTCCCTGTGTGTATTATATTACTGTTCTCCCTCCATTTCACTTTTTTTTTTTACAAGACTGTACAGGATTACTTACTGCCTTTCCTGTTCTGCTCTCGGGGGACTGCAGGCACGGGGTCTGGCTCAACCCAGCGAAGTTATTTACTGGCTGCTGTAAAAGGGCAGACATAGGACATCCGTCTGGCAGTCTGGAAGTTCATAAAAATGTGCTCTTTGATTTTGACATGGCTTTTAACCAATGTGAACTCTGCTAAAAGAAAAAAAAAATGCATCTTCAACATTACAGAAACCAAGGGGTTTATATATTTCTTAAAGCACCAGTTATCAGCAATTTTCTCTGATCTCCTTCCCTCCCCTTCTCTCCCCTCCCTCTCCTTATCTTTTTATTCTTTTCCTGTTACAGCTACAAGCCCACCAGTCTCTGGCCTAGGCTCCCAGTGTCTTTCGGGGAAAGGAGAAGACTATCGAGGAAGAATAACCACCACTGAATCGGGAAAAACCTGCCAACACTGGAACACACAGTCTCCACACAAACATGGCTGGATTCCTGACAGATACCCCTGCAAGTATGCTGAGCCTCATCATTATAATAATCACCAAAGAACACAGTTATTCCCTATCAACCYAGATGCAGAGGCAAGAGGAGCACAGGTTTTCCTCATTTATGTTGTTAGGTCGTATTCTGTTTGCCAGCGCTCATTTTTTTCTGCCACCCTGTTTTTTCGCATGAATTTTTCTCACATGTCTCCTCCACATCCCACTGCAGAGCTATAAGTAGTTTACTACTTTTCTGTTCCAAAGCCCTTGGTTGTGTTTTGGCACATTTTCAATGCATGACTCTCCTGAAGAGTGATGCTCCAAGGACAGCATGCTCCTTGAGCTCCAAGGTCAGAGGAGTTGTGTTTCTAGAGCATGAACATGCAGAAATAACTGGAACTGACCAGACCAACAGCTCTACAGTTTGATCCTGCAAGTTTTCCCAGCCATGTRAAACCCTGTCCATTATCACAGGGCAGAGAGCAGCATGCACCAGTGCTCCTACACACACACTTACAGGCTGTCACATCCAGCCTTGCCTGGTTCTTACTGTAATCTTAGATACGTTTCTGTTTGGAAATCTCCTGCATCTTGCTCTCAACAACAAGAGCAGAAAGTGTGAGCATTTGAAAAGTTCTTCCTACATCTTCAGCATTTAKACTGTAAAGTCAAAGACCATTAATTAGTCCCAAAGCAGTGATGCATGGACTAATCAATCTCCAAAAAAACCATAAATATAAGCACTGAGTTGAATTCTGCATGCAGTAGTTGTTAATAGCCAAGSACACAACTCTTCTGGATTTCCATGAGTGATTTTAAGCCAGTTCTCCTGTTTCTTGTTTWAAGGGGCTTAGAGGAAAACTACTGTAGAAACCCTGATGGAGAAAAGAAACCTTGGTGCTACACCACTGACAGCAGCATGAGATGGGAATACTGCACAATTCCTCYTTGTGAAGTGACAGAACAAGGGATTGCTGGTATGAATAGTGGAATGTATTTGAGATAAGAATTTTAAAACAGTGGAAGTTTTATTGTTTCTTATTGTAAATGTATTAAAWCCTTTTTTCAGTCACTTTGTCACTGTCAATGTTTGTCTGCCTGGCATGTTGCAAAATCTGACAAATATTGAATTTCAATGGTTAAGGAAATACAGTGAAGGTTGCAAATCACTAGCTGACTCAACAGAAGAAATACAGGGTCAAGAATTTTTTTTAAATATTCCTTTTTTCCCAAAGGGACACCAATTATAGCAAGTTCATTGAAAAATGAAAAGCAAGTTTAAAGAGATGAAAAATTGCTGAATAAGATGAACTCCCATTTTTGGAAATCAGCAAGAGAGGACAAGAGCTTCCAAAGTAATAAAAATTATAATGAAACATTCATTCATTTAAGCATAAAAAATAACAACAAAGTCTTAGCACAATCAAAATGATAATAGAGAGATTGAAGTTTAACATAATGTTTGTTTGATAAATTGACCATGGGAAAAATTATCAGTATCTAATCTTTGAGGATTTTTTATGAGAACTTTCTTATCTTTAATTCTAACATGTTCACAAATGCCAAAATGAAACTGACTGGTGAACCCTTCACTGAACAAYATCTAACAGAAATTGTTAAAACTGAAAGTTTTCTCAATATCTTTGGAAATTCCCTTCTGCTGCAGGTGTGATGATTTTCGCTARATGCTGTCTGCATAAATGAGTCATTCATTCTTGTCATCCTGTGTTTTTGGAYTTTCTTGTGTCTGCTCAGTAAAAACATAAAATTATGATGCCAAAGACCAGTTTGTGTTGTTCACCRCAGATGTGCCTGTACAAGTTCCCCTGACAGAGGAGTGCTACCGAGGCAAAGGTCAAAGTTATCGAGGCACAATGTCTGTCACTGCATCGGGAAAGACGTGCCAGGCCTGGAACTCCATGTTCCCACACAGGCATATAAAAACCCCGGACAGATTCCCAGACGCGTATGTTTATCTCACCTTTTCCCACTTTCTCTGTCAATAACTATTGCTGGTTTTATTATCTTTGCACATCTATGCTTGAAAACACTGCTAGGGAATATATCTGTAAAAGACAACTTTTCTAAGATACAGAAATGTTTTCTGTTAGTCTTATTTGTAAGAACTGTGTTTGCTTGTTATCTAAATTCTGAGTAAAATACAGCTGTATCACTTCCCCTTAAATCCAATCTTCTGTAACCAACACCAGGAGGCTGGTATCCAGAGACTGGGTATCTGCTGAAATCTATGTTTTGTTTAYGAATTTCAGACTTTTGTTGTGGCCTTTCTAATGATTTAATCTGAAAAGGATACAGCTTTTATGATGCAAAACACACAGTCAGATATGTCATGCTTAGAAATACCACCTAAGTGCTCTTTGTAGCTGGAAAGGGGCACTCTGAATTGCATACACTGAAATTTTCCCTTGATTTATCTTCTTCCAGCTAACAGAAGTRGACTAGAAATGACTAGACCAGTGATAAGCTAACTAATGTGCCAGWTTTTAGTAAGGATAGGAAAGCAGCAGGACTACAATTGTGAGGAAATCCATCACGCTTGGTGGATTATAAGSAGGAAGGTCGATGCTTTCTAATTTTTTGCCTTTTTTACGGTATCACACTAAATAATTTGAAATTTTCAGTTATATTTTGGCATTAAAAAACTGGAACACCATCAGAGGTGGGATATCCTTCAAAACATTTTTAAAAATTAGAACTGAGCTGTAAAAATGTGGAAYTCATGTGTTCTGTCATATTTAGAGAAAAAGCATTTCAGTTCTTTTGTATTCTGTGACTGTGCTGTGATTCAGGATGGGGAAATACTGTGACTCTGCTAATTATCGAAGAGAGAAATTCTACTCCCCCGTGCCCCAGCAAGCACAGACATGGGAGTGCTCTCACTGAATTCAGTAGCAATGAGGGTTTGGGAGTGTAAGAGGAGATCAATTCCATAAGCATTTATTTTCCATTTTTTGAATATAAGAACCCTTGGACAGTTAACAAAAATTTTTGGAAAAGTCTAAGTGCTCACCAATAGTATGAATCTTCCTGCATATTTATTATTAATCCACACATTCTTACAATTGTGTATGCTTATACATACACTTTTAGAAATTAAAAGAATTGCCATATGGGGCAATTATTTAAGTACTCAGAACATTGAAATATTAGAGTCAGGGTATAAGACAGTAGTTGAATTATGTTTCCATATGCATAAATATATTCAATACTCCAATGTGCATATGAAATATAACCCTTCATTAGTATCACAGCCAGAAATGTGTTTGCTAGTAATAGGATATCTGGCCATAAGTAAAACCAATAATAAATGTATTTATCTGTACATAGTAGATGTACATAGTACATTCTTYTGTCAAGATATTCCTATGCTTACTTTCAGACTTATGCAGCATCATTACTGATTTTATTTGTGCAGGGATTTGAGGGACAACTACTGTAGAAACCCAGATGGTGACAGCAGCCCATGGTGTTTCACCACCGACCCCAACACGTTATGGGAGTACTGCAATCTCAAGCGGTGTGACAATCATACACAAGAGCCTGCACTAAACGACTCCCCTGCAACGATGGAACAAAACATTGGGTAACAGCCACCACCTCCTGYAGAATCCATGGTTGAAGGAAATAGCAATCTATCAAAATTATTCTTGAWTGTCATGGTTTAACCACAGCCAGAAACTAAGCCAGAACCRCACAGCTGCTCACTCATTCCCCATCCCCTCTTTGGTGGGGAGGAGAATTTTAAAAAAGAGATTCTTGAGATAAGAATGGCTTAATAAGAATGGTTTAATAACTAAGAGTATATTTATTATACATCATTTAAATGATGTATAATAACTGTTGGGTTTAATCTCACAGTTTGGCAAAGGTTCAAGCTGCAGGTCAAGTGATCAAGGAACAGCTTCTATGATTGACAGAGACCCTGCCTTGTGTGTCAAGCTGTGATTGGTTAAGCAGAGCCCGTGGACACCGCCTAACCAGAGATGTAATTGGATAAGAAAGTTCATGGACAGCAACCCTGCAGAGCAAACAGCCAATGAGTTCTTAGCCCAGGAAAATTAAAGTATAAAAAGGCRCAGCTTTTTGAAAATAAAGGATTTTCTTTGAACCAGCTAAAAAACAGTCCGTGTCCTCTGTTCCCCCATTGTCACAAATAACTATAATAAAAATAGCGGCAATAATAATAATTGTAATGAAAACTTGAGAGAGGGATAAAATCTAAGGAACACAAGTGGTGCACAATACAATTGCTGACCAATGCCCAGCCTGTCCCTGAGCAGCATAATGGTTCCCTTCAGTGTGTGTAATAAGTGTGTTGTTCTATGGGATGGAATATCCCTGTGACCAGCTGTCCTGGTCACTTTCTTTGCACCTCCTAATGGCTGAGAATGAAAAACTGAAAAGTCCTTGAGTTAGAGTAAGCACAATGTTGCAACAACCAAAATATCAGTGTATTATCAACATKATTCTCATACTAAACCTAAAACACAGCACTGTATCAGCTACTAAGAAGAAGATTAACGCTATCTAAGCCAAAACCAGGACATTGACTGGGGCTGCAATATAACAGTTACATCCCTCCTGCAGCACCCAGATCTGTACTGCTGAATTTTGCAGAAAGTGCTCTTTAGTTAGTACATTTCCTGTAGCTTATGTCATTTTACAGTGCATTCTGAAGRACATCTTTTTCATTTAGGTGAATAAGAGAAAATAGACAACACTTCTAGTATTACTCTAGTTCTGTGCTATTGAAATATTTGAATGTTATTATTACAGGAATTTTGCTTGTGCTGCAATTTATGTTTCCAAGAGGGTGCCCTTAGCTTGTATTGTTCACAGACAGCTTTATTTTGCAAAATGAGAGAAATKAGGTTTTGCTCTGTCCTGTTTTGTTACTTCCTTAATTAATAGTCCACATTGCTCAAAGTGGTATGATGTTTCTGAAAGTAWAGTGAAACTTGGCATGGGTTACTTATTTTGCAAAGGAAGGTCGCAGGATTGAACAAAAGAAGCTTTCCTAAACTGAGTTGTGTACTCTTCTTACTTAAGTGCAGTAGAAAAAAGTACCTGTAGCAATGTCCTTGGCAGCAAAAATTGCCCTTTTAGTCTAAAGGGTGAATGAAATATGCTCCTCTCATGGAAGTGCTTACTGATACCAATATAGCAAAAGCATTGAAGATTTTCCAGATATTTGCAGTATGTTACAGATACTGTTTAGCCTAAAGTTCCTTGATATTTTCCCAATTCAGTTACTCTGTACATCCAGAAAGATATCTGTCTTGGCAAACCAAGAGATCACATCACAGGCTATATTTTTAACTTGCTTTCTGCTGTAGACACCAGTTTTCAGGCCCTAAAGATACTTAATCTGGCTTGTTTCTGCTAACCACCAATACACAGAGATTCAGCACCTAACAATAATTTCCTTTTCCTCTTTTTTTCACAGACTGCATTAAGCAGTAATGGTAAAGTTTATCACGCCACAGTAGCAAAAACTGGAAAGGGTAGGACTTGCTCTCGGGAACCACATGGCCACAGATATTTCACTCCTAGGACTCATTCAAGAGCAGGCCTGAATAAAAATACTGATGTCACTGGTGCCATTGAACATTGTCTCCTTTCTCCATGATCCCTCAGTAAACACTTCATATTCATTTCTTACAGATGAGGTTAAGCATACCTGGAAGTCATCACATGGACAATCCAGTCCCTTAACAGTGCTGAAGAGGGAAGGATGCATTTTACCCTACCTAGGATGTTGTTGGTACCTCAAGCACAGAGGCACACCATGGGGTTGATGCTGACAGACAAGCAGCACAAAAGAAATCATATAGYACCTCTCTGATTTCTGCAAACCTCAAATCAATGCCTTTGATGTTTGTCACAATCTAAGTAAGCTTCTGGTAAATCCTCAAAGTTAACCTAACTTGCTCTCACTGACTTCAGGGGGAGATGGATTAGGCCCGCAACAGATGTTTTAGAGCAAAATACTTAGTTACTCATCCTAAGTTAAACTTCTCACGAGGTCCCAAAAAGCAGTAAAGCCAGGGTGACTCTTAGTGGATGAACAAATTGATAGCAATTTTATCATATTTCTTGAATTTCACCTAATGGTTTTGAGATACAGGAAAGAAATAATTTTGTGGTAAGAGGAAATAGAAAGTATTTCACATCCAGTGAAAAAGCAGTTGGGGAAAATAATGCAAAGCTTTAATCTAACTCTTTTTTAAAAGTATGTACTTATAGACTGAATTCTGTGGCTGACATTTGGAGTCTTCATTTTTTTTTTTTTTTGTAATTATTATAAAATTGCAGGAATCCCAGTGGAAATGTAAGTGGTGTTTGGTGCTTTGCAACAGACTGAGGAAAAGAAATGGAAGTACTGTGAAATCCCACACTGCTGTAATTATACTTGAAGACTTTTCTGCCCTCCCTTTCTAGAACTTGTTATGATAGTTACAAAATGTCTGCAATCCAAACACTAAAAAACTGCAGTAGGTGGTAGCYTTAGAATTGAATTTAGGTCTGTATAGAGGTCTGACACAATCAAGCACCAGTTACAATCAGCCTAAGTTTAGACAACCTGGTGCTAAGCATCATCGGTAAGATTTCACAGATGACAATCTCTGCGCTCTTTATCATCACTGAAGCTAAGCACTCGGAGCTGCTAGCTGTATTTGAAGCATCCAGTGAAACTGTGAAGAGAGGTATTCCTTCCCTGGTCTCCTCAAAAACAGAAGAGGGTTTCCTTGATGTTCATGCTAGTCTTTCACCGCTCTTTCTTACAGGACTACTGCTTCAAGAACCTGRTCATGCAATTTTTCTTTAGTTGGGAGCATCAAAAATTATATCCTTTGAAACCTTTTTCATTTTCTACAAACTTAATTTTCATTCTGATCTGGATGTTAAAATRATCTATCCCTAGATATTTTGCTTTCTGTTGGGGTAGGGAGTAAATTTGGTCTGGCATATATTACACAGATTCCCATAATTCTTTTTTTGTTTTGTTGTTTCTTTTTGTGGATAGTAGTAAGTGCACTGAGCAGGCATAGCGTGTGTTGAAAAAATCAGTGAAAGAGATTTTACCCTTTGTGGTGCCTTGGCTGCAATARAGGTTGTCATCCAGTGGGAATACATTTCAGCACAGCTAGTAATCATCTCAKTTGCTTTGCTCTTTTCTTTCTTTTCTATATTTTGACAGACTAATTTTTAAGTTAAACATTCCAAATATGGTTTTACGACTGGTTTTAAAAATTATTTAATAATTCATAGGAATCTTAAATAAATACCACTACTGGCTGAGTATAAATAGCTCTTGCAAAGCAATAGTCAAGCTGACCAATTGCTATTGTCTGTCAGAGTTCATGTGTTCTACCTGTGTCAGTCAACCATGTTGCTTGCAGCAGCAGCTGAAAAGCTCTTATTCCACCCCTGTTACACCTGGACACTTAAATCCAGGTGTTAAACTGAAGGTTCCTTTACTATAGTTGGTGAGAAGAGAAATCTGTTGCCAGCTCCACACTTTTAAAGTTGTGCCAYCCATGGTGATGAGGACTTCTGCTACAGTGCCCAGCTGACATTAGGGTTGGGGCTAGGGTTAGGGTTGAGAGTAAAAGAGCCTACAGCCCAAGGGATAATGAGTTGGAAAAGCCATGCCAAGACAATCACGACAGGGCTTCAACATTGATGCTCTTACATCTTCTAATCTGGACTACCCATGGTGATGGGGACCTCAGTCTGAGCATCAAGCTGCAGCTAAGGTGGTTGAGTGAATAAAAGAGCCTCCAACTGCAGGAACACTGGGGCTAGAAAAAAAAACATTGCAATGGCATCATGGCAGAGCACAGAGATTGCTCACTCTACGCTCTTTTCATCCAGTCTTGTGTTACACTATGTGCACTGACATATATGGAGTTAAACTGAGGTTCTTTTTCTCCTATTGGCACAAAGACATATTCCAACCAGATTTTCTTCGCAGGTCACAAATACACAAAAGTTTACTGGCAAAAACACAGGAAACTAAGAAACTTTGACGAAATATTAAACACAACACCAAAATCAGTATCAAGCACTTATGCCTTAGCATAAATGTGGCACTAATTTAATATTAATTTAGCATAAATTTAGCCTGTTCAACCCAGAAACCTTTAAACCATAATGTTTTGTTAACTGAAAGCATTCCATGAAGGAGAATTAGAAGAAGAAAGCAAGAGAGAGAAAGGCAAAGACAGAAGAGATACAGGAAAAAAAAAAAAAAGCACATAGCTACCACCTCCTAGGCCCCCGCACAGARCCCCACAGGGTTCAGACAATGGCCACCCCTGGACAGCTCCTTTTAAACCCTTGGTCCCGCCCCTAAGGTGGCACTTCCGGTTATTTGGCCAATCAAAAACCCTGGATGGTTTGATTGACAGCTCAGCCAGGCTGGGGCCCTGTGGGCGGGGCCTGAAGCAAGGCCTGGCCTTTCCCCGCACCGGCATTGGCGTGAGACACTCACCATATCCAGTCCCTGGGACCTCGGTTCTCCTGCTCAGTCTGAGAAAGGAAAGAAGATGAAAGCATGCTGAAATTTCTACAATGGGTAGCTGCTATTCATATATCTAGTTAATATCCCTCTGTGCAGAGCATTCCCCTCAGCACCCCATGAGTCCAAAAATTGCAGGACAGTCGGGCTCTGAGGAGGAGAGTTCATGCAGCCRTCTACCAGCACCCAGAGTCCAGCAGATCGGTCCGTGATTTTTGGAGTGTTTCTGGAGGGCCCACCTTATTTCTGTTAAGTTTAACATTCTCTAACACTAGATAATTTGCACAACTATTTTTGATACTTGAATTTGTAAGCTGGGCTCAAAAATAGCTTGGTGAATGCARTTTAGGCCACCTTGCCTTTTGGAGGCTGTCTCCATAACCTTACAGGTACAGATACCCCCACAAGCCAAACAAATATCACATAAACTCATATAAACATATATGAATATAAACATAGTAATAACTTAAAATATATCAATTACTTATGAAATTTATCTTATCTAGTTTTTAATTATACAGATGAGTATTCTCAGTATTATGAAGTAAAACAAGTTGGATTMGCGAACCGTCCTTTGAGAACTTTTCATTTTTAATTTGTTAAAAACTACTTATCAGTATTATAATTATCAGTATGATGTTAGAGTAGTCCTTAGTGAAAAAGTCAACCCTCTCTTTGACTTACATATTCTTTTCGCATATGAAGCCATACTTGCTATTACAATTCCTACAAGGTCTTTCTGGGATAGCTGACTAATCCAGGAGCAAACAACAGTGTTGGTATACTGGGAACACTGTTCTGGAAGTGCAAACCTTTATAATAGAATATATTAAATAGTTCGTGATTTTGTATTTTATTGCAGCTTCCAATGCTGTTCCTCCCTGTTTTCTTTCCTTACAGCTGACTTTATTTGTGCCCAGACATACACCCAGTCTCTTGGCTGGAGAGGCTATACTAAAACAACAAACTTGCAAAAYGATAAAGCATTTTTTCCTGCAGCAGCAGTTCCACCCCCTGGCCTCTGGTGGAAGGCAAGGCTCAAGATTCACTGCCCCCAGAAGGAGGCAGTGCACAAAAATTATGCAACGTTTCATTGAAAATACCGGGAAGCAGTATTCTGCTCACTTTCCCTCCACCCAATACTACTTAGGCTTTGAACTCTCATTTTCCCAAGCTGTCAAATTTCTATGAAGGAGAAGTCTTTATCCAGGAAGATTTTACCAACCACGAGAAAAATGAAATCTGGGTCCCTGAAATAAAACAAAGCATTGATTTCTATAGAAATCCTTTTCCCTTATGTTTTGGCTACTGCAAGTCATGGGTGCACTGGGAACACAGCCAAGTGATATACAGGTTGCAAGGGACAACTGGAGTTCATCCCAACACCTACTCAGAGCGGGTTCAGATATGCCAGATTGCTCAATGTCTTGTTTCTATCAAATTCAGATACCCCAAAGGATGAAAATCTCATACCCTCTCTGGAGCCCTGCCCCACTGTCTGAACATCTCCATGGAGGAGTAYTTTTTCCTCTTATCTAACCTTCCCTGGCTGCAATTTGTGTCGTTGCCTTTCAGTCTTACACTGCTGCTCCTCTAGGAAGATTCTGGRTCCATTTTTCCTCTGCTTTGCACCAGATAGCTGTAGACAGCAATAAGATCCCACCCTTCACCCTTTCCAGGATGAAGAAGCCTCTCCACCTTCCTCATACCCCACAAGCCCCAGCCCCCAGCAGCTTGGTGGCCCTGCACCTCCAAGGCTGGGCCCACTCCAGTCCTTCTTCTACCAGCAAGGCCAGAAGTGGCCATGGCGATCCAGATGCTGTCTCACCAACGCTGAAGAGAGTGAAGAATCCCTTCCCTCAGGCTGCTGGCTGAAGTTCCCACCCTATGGTTCTGTATGGGCTTTATAACCCATCTGGCCTTTGCTCTAAGGACACGGTGTTGTCCCAGCCTGAGCCCWGGACTTCAGCCCCTGCAGGGTTGCTCTCTGTGCATTTGGCATCCAGTCTGTGCTGGGGCACAGGGCTGCCCCTGCCGCACGCTGGGCTTTGCCTTTGCCTCTGTCGAACTSAATTTGCAGCTGCACATTCAGGCAATAGGTGGCACTGATGGACGATGTCGTTTGCGTTGTCCCCGAAAAAAACGTCACAGCGGAAGAGAAAGGCAGCAGAGGAGAAACTGGGATTGTGTCCTCCTCACTCAGAGCAGCGGCCAGGCAAGGACAAGCAGATATGTGGCAAGAGATCCTTCCAAACGCATGGTGAGCTCTCCTTGGCACGGGGAGGAGCTGGGCTCACTGGGATTGGGGGTGGGAGAAAGCCCCGGGAGGGTCGCCAGGCAATGGGAGAGGGGGAGCAGGCAGCTGAGTTCTCCTGAGCATGAGTGTGGAAGAGGTGTTGATCCACTGAGCCTTGTTTTGTGTCACTCAGAGAGCTGCTTCTGGGACAGGCTGGCTTTGTTAAGCAGTGCAGGGTTTGTGCATCGATAACTGGCTTCATACCTCTGCTCACTGAGCTCCAGGACTTAAGTGCAGGGGCACTTAAATATTCTCACCTGTTGCATAAATTATTTGTTCTTAGGAGCCCTGTCCTTCTGTCTCCAAAAGCCATTTAAGGAAAAAAAAATCACACAAAGCCTGTCTTAGCAATTGTTACCAGATTGCWTGGAGGTTACTGGGATATCCAGCACAGGCACTAGGTTCTGCATTTCAGACAGCAGAGGGGAACAATTCTAGGTAAAAACTAATACCCAGTGGGATTCATTTTTCACAGATTATCAAGTCTTTTTCTTTTTTGGCAGTTGTTATGTTAGTTATTGTTAGTTTATGTTCTCAAAGCACTATAATTATAGCACAAAAAAAAAACTCCCTAATGTAGCTGCATTCCACAAGGCAGAAAAACAAGACATTCTCTTATTCCTCCTACTGTCACTAGCTTTTACATTGTGCATTTTGCACCAGAATCTGCCAGGCTTAAAGGGAACCAGGGARGATACTTCCTTTTTCTAGCAGGCACAGGAGGCCCACAGGAGGCTTGCTATCCAGTCAGGAGTAGCTACAAGTGGCAGTTACAGCAGCTCATTAAACCCTGAACAGGGAAGGGTCCCACAAGGTTCTGCTCGTGCCAGCTCTGCAGCACGATGAGCACCACATGGCTGGCAGCAGAAAAGCCCTGGAGCTGGGAAGTGCCATGCCAAGGCTGTGCACCTATTGCTACACAGCAGACAAAGCAAACGATTTTGTTGGCTGCAGTTACACAGCCGCTCACAGGATGAAGCCCTGCAAGGACACCTAAGCAGCTGTTTACTGCCTTTTGTCTAAATTGTGCTGAAGGAGGGARTATTATGGCAACAAATTATCTCATTAAACACAGCCCAGAAACACTGTCTCTTTGTAGAGAGGCAATGCTTTGTGAGCCCCTCTCCATCCCTGGTATCCAAAGAGTAGGAGAAATAATGGCACATGTTGCCAGGTGGCTAAACAGCTTGTGATCACATGCCTGGGCAATGAGTGATGCTGGCATGGGACATTCTTTGCACCATCCACAAGGGTTGGCATGGGACAACACTATCAGACTGTAAGRATCTTTCTGTTTTTTCCCTTCTGTAGGGAGAGTGCCTTGTCCCGGATCAGGTGAGTGAGAGATGCTCTGTGCTGCAGCCTCCTCTTTGGGTCAGTGCCCTGGTGGGGGCACAGCATCAGCCCTTCCATACTCTGGATGACAACAACAATAGCAAAATCTTCATTCATAATCCCTTTGCAGCCCCCAGACACCTCAACTAATCCCCAAGGGAAGCTGGAGAGGTCAGAGGGATGGGAAACTACACTATATTTAGGACTGCATGTCTGTCAAATCCAGCTCTGGTAACTTAGTTCCCACACCTCAAGTCTGGACCCTGCTGATTAGAACAGAAACAGGGGCACCAGCAGATACTCCTTACTGGAAAGCAATGGGAGAGAGCCAGGATTGCCCTATGAGGGCATTGATTGATTCTGTAGGGCAGCTGTGTGTAAAGCACTGGCAAGAAGAGGATGTCCAGTACATCCAGCAAGCTTCAGCAGTTGAAGACTTTGTGTCTCCTCCCGCTCCTTAGCTTGTTCTGCCCAAGGAGTTTTTATTCCTGGACAAGTCCAGCTGCTACTGTCTCATTCAATCCAGTGCTTCCCTCAAAATAGATTGCCCCATATCCTATTGAACCTTGTCCTCCTGGGCATCCTGGTTCAAAAGAAAAGAGAGAAGGAAGCCTTGTGWTCAGCAAGTCCCGATCAGCAAGGTCTTGAGACCCCTAAGAAGCCTTGGTAGACAGAACSCTGCCCCAAATCTTGCCTGTACTCTTCAAAAATAACAGAAGCACCCAGCCCCTGCTGACTGCCTGGGATTTGTAGGCATTCATGGCTGTTCAGTCCTAATGGATGTGAATACAAGCCCAGCCTAGTCCCTTTGCCTTTGAYACTGCTGTTGTTGAACACAAAGAATGTCATGCTTCCCCAGGTCTTTTGAATATTCCCAGAAGAATGCAATCCTGGTCCCTGCAGCCGCCCTGGGGGTTGGAGGGATACTGCTTTACTGGCTCAGGTCTGGACGCAAGATCAAGACTATTGACATGGGCGATGGGTGGTGGGGCTCAGGCGAAAGACCCCTCAAAGGGAAAGAAGATGAAAGCATCCGTCCCTTCAAGATTGAAACATCTGACAAAGAAATCGAGGTACTCCTGGCTGGGGTGTAAGGAGGGGCAGAAAGCTGTAAGGRGGAGGCACTCCATCACCCACCTCACTGCTTCAAGGTGATGTCTTGGGGGTGACAGCAGGGCACTGCCATGTGCTTCTGTCTCACCACCCTTTCTGAATGGAATTTGAGCTCCAGTCTATTGCAATGGGCCCTAAAGACTTTCTGAGACAACAAATCCTCTGTGCAACCTGGGGCTTCTGCATGAAGACCACGCTTTGAGCAGCAGGCTTTGACAGTGGAACTGTGGGTGGTGGAACTGGGCAGGAGGGTATCGGGACAGCAGTGGCACCAGTAGGGTGGGACTGAGRGGCTTCTGCAGAGGGAAGGGCTGGAAGGCTGAAGAGGGCTGCGGTCTTGARTGAGTTGTAGCTCCTCTGTCCCTCTGCATGCCTAATTATCTGGCCAAGTAGCAGTATGCTCCTAGYGCCAAAAACCCTGAAGTGAGTTAGCAGCAAGCCAAGAGTAGGACTCTGTATTCCTGGGTGCCCCAGGGGAACTTGTAACCTATAGAAAATTGTAGTTCCCATATAAACAATTCAGGAGGTCACACAGARTATAGCACTTCTTCAGGAGGGCTTGTGGTGTCCCAGAGAGCAATACAAAAGCCAGCAGAGCCAGGACAGCCGGTCCATGTCTGTYCTGGCATGTGGCACCTGCCAGCAGCTGGCCAGCCCGGCAAGAAGGGTTCCCTTCCATTCCACAGGATCTGCACCAGCGCCTGGATCGCTTCCGCTTCACACCGCATGTGGAAGGGGCCGCCTTCCACTACGGCTTCAACTCCAGCTACCTGCGGAAGGTGGTGTCCTACTGGAGGAATCAGTTTGACTGGCACAAGCAAGTGCAAGTGCTGAACAAATACCCCCACTTCCACACCAGCATTGAAGGTGAGAGGATCTCCGGTTGAACAGGTCTCACTCGAAAATGCACAATGAGAATGGGAGATGTAAGAAGTGACATTATTTAGGATTACCTATGCATAACAGCGTAGTGATATGAGTGAAATAGCACTAGTGGAAGGTCTGTTACTTGTAACCTTAGAGGATTCAGACTATTAGACAGTGGCAATAAGATAGGTGTGTTTCWAGACTGGCTCTAAATCCATGCTAACTAACGATGAGATGCTCTKCAGTGATTGCCTTTAAGCCACCTTCGAAAATTGCAAAATTTAGTCAGACTCTGAGGCTGAAATACTCCCCATCACCACCCAGTAGTTTAGCCAGGTGAAGTTAGTCAGATTTTAAACAAGTGATCTCTTGATTAGGCTCCTATCATGCWCTTACTTTTTCAGATTTCTCTTTTAATCACTGTAATGTTTCTGCATGTGCATTACCCACATTATGCTATTCATTCAAGTGCAGCTTTGCTTATATTGTAGAGACTGTGAGAGCAATTTCTCAGGAGATGGAAGCTCATCTCCAGTGACCCCAATATCTGGGACTGCGGTCAATATCTCTGTCTTTGTGGAAAAGATGAGACAGGCATCTTCTTGCAGTGGGCTGATTGTGGAACTTCTGCTCCAGATACAATTTTGCCACCCTCCTTCTTCAGAGTCAAGAGCAGAAACTGTRATGATACCAGAACTTTAATTTATCTGTCTTGGATGTGTGGCAGGGATTGATATCCATTTTATYCATGTGAAGCCATCCTATGTTCCTCATGGTCGAGCTGTTCAACCTCTRCTGATGGTCCATGGTTGGCCTGGYTCCTTTTACGAGTTCTACAAGATCATCCCTCTGCTCACGGAGCCAGCCAGCCACGGTCTGACTGAGGGTGATGTGGTGTTTGAGGTCATCTGCCCATCCATCCCAGGCTAYGGCTTCTCAGAAGCCCCTCACCAGAAAGGTAAGCARTGAMAAGGCTCTGTTGGAATTGCAGTTTTTGGAGTAACACCTCAGCCATYCCTGGCTTCCCWRGGTTTCACTGCAGTTTGTGAATGCAGATGCCTGGCTCTTCACTCAGGCCCATGTGAATGAGGCTCTGGGGCTGGCTGTGAAGATTTGGAATGCAATGGTAATTGGAAGTCAAATGCTTTCCACTTCCCCCACKTTCCAGTGAATTTCTTTCATCTTGTGTTCAGTTTCTTTCCAAGCAGYAAGGMAGAGCAGCATTSCACAAAGTGCGTTCCCACAGCCCCRCACTCACATGGCTCTGTCAGGTCACACTCTTTGRCCRGGAGGAGCACTAGGACAAACAGGTCTCCTGTGTTTCTYTTTATCTACAGATTTTGACTCGGTTGCAGCTGCTCGGATATTTCATAAGCTGATGAGCAGACTGGGCTTCAAGGAATATTACATACAGGGAGGAGACTGGGGATCTCACATCACCTCAATCATGGC